TTTTTTTTTTTTTTTTTTAAATTCTAAGTCACGTATTTTAACAACAAGGGGAAAAAAAAAACCAACCCGACATTATTGTTGAAACCGAAGAATTTCGACTTCCCACTCTTCTTTATTGTTGTCAACTTCAGAAGTTTCCAAAGCCTAACAACATCACTTCAAAAGCACTTGGTTTAAATGTACACCCAGATAATGAAAGAACATCTTTTAAGAATATTTCCAGAGACATAAAAACCCCCAGCAAGCTGACACTTTGACAAACAAAAAAAAATACCTGGCCACAGAAATAAAGCTGGTGCTGAGAGTGACACTTTCCCTCCCTCTAATTGACAACTCGGGAAACAAAAGCAGGGAGAGGAACACATTATGATGTTCCTCTGGTGAATAGAGGCTGTCAGGGAATGCAGCCTGTTTGTTTGTTTGTTTGTTGGGAATCAGCTGCATTTTGATCTCAGGCAGGGGAGGGAGAGGAGCTGGGAAGCAGAAGGGATCTGTCTGTGAGGGCTGGCAGCACGATGTGCTCGGAGAAACAACCCGGGTTGTGTTTGAAGGCCCATTAGGAAGCAGCCGAGGAAGCTGGAAAGGCAGCAATTTAAATATTTTTAGTGCTCTGAGGCTTCTTTCTTATTTAAGAGCTTGGCAGGGCCATCTGTATCACAGATCAGTGGGAAATTCCTTCAAGGTGGGAAGTTGGGGGGGTGAGAACTTGGAGCATCACTCAGAGACTCGAATGACTCTGGATTCAGGACAGTGGAATTCAGCTAAACCACCTCCAGGAGCTGTGTTGGGAGAAAAATCCAGAAATTTGGCTTTTTTTAAGTGTTCAAGGACATGTTGGATGGAGCTCTGAGCAACATGGGCTAGTGGAAGGTGTCTCTGCCCATGGCAGGGGGTGGAATGAGATGAGCTTTAAGGTCCCTTCCAACCCAAACCATTCTATGATTCCATGATTGGTTTTATCAGCAATAAATCCTACTGCTTTTCCCCTAAAAATGGGGATTTTTCTTTTTCTCAGCATTGTGAAATTAGCAATTATTTGATCGATATGTTTTCTGTAGACCCTACACATAAATCATAATTAAAGCTTTACATAAATTACACTACTATAGATGCCAACATTTTTTGTGTTGTCTAAATGGCACAAAACCTGAAAATATTGGGTATTTTTATTAACTCTTTTCTAATGAGTTTTCTATGCAACCATGAAACAGCCTCAAGTTTTATACACTGCACTAGAAACTTTGGCTAAAATGATCACAGATTAAAAAAAACTTAAGATTAAATGCAGCTTCCTACTAGATATTTTTAATAGAATCACAGATATCATGGCATCCACATTAGCTACTCTACTGCTATTTTTTTTCTTTAACTTAACAATAACACTGTGTCAAGAGAGCTCTTAAAATTGTAGCTTTCCATGCAAGAACACTGGTCTAGTGGCTTTTTTATTTTTTCCCCCCCCATTTTTATTTCTCTTTACCATAAAACCAATCCTCTGTGAACTTCTCTCCAGTGAGGACAATAACAGAAAACAAAATGCACTGATGGAAATTTTACTGCTGAGTTTCAAGCCCCAACCAGCCCTTATGGCTTGGGTAGAGGTGCTGTAAAATCTGCCTTGTTCAGGGGGAAGCTGCCACGTTCTTTTTTTGTGTCTGTAATCCCTGAAGGCCACAGTCACACTGAGTAGTTTTGATGATTTTGCCATGAGAATTACGAGGAACTTTAAGGGAAAAGGCCACAGGATGTTATATTTTGCATCCAAAAATGATACATATGGAGCAGTCAAGTTTGCCATGTGTGTTACTTGCAGTAATAATCACACAATTAATAAATTATTAAAAATAAAGACTATTGAATACCGAGTTTGGGGCATTTCCTCAGCAGTGCTGCATTTTATTTCACTTTGCAGAGAATTGTGTTTGGTCTAGTGCAGAAAGATTATCATCAAATATTAACAGTTTTTTCCTTATTCATAGTAACAAAAAGGGAAGTGTTTGACTGTTTTCCATCACTCTAACAAACTGTTCTGAAAGGAAAGAATTATGAATTGTCTTAGATGATGAAAAAACAGCCAAAAACTAAGCCCCACTTCTGAAAAGCACAATAGAGAGAATTCCACATGACTGATGAAGAAACGTTAGGGCTCTGCAGGTACAAATGCAACTTGTCAATCTCCTTTATTTTTTTTTAAATACCAGAACACTTCAGACATTCTTTTACCTTCTCCACACACTTCAGAACCCACTTGAACTTCAGTGGGAGGCAATTAACAGCAATGAAAGCTAAGCTGAGTTTGGAGTACAGTGTTTTTAAAAACCACCCACAGAAGTTCATGTAGATCTTGAATAAATTAGGTGAACAAAAAACTGTCTTTCAAAAAGGAGATGGGCAGGGTCTGTAATACACCAAGAACCTGTTTGCCTTCATTGCAAATTCAAAATTCTGTTCTTACAGCAGAAATCATGGTTGACTTTGAGAAGGTGAACACATCAGGTACAGGCTCATTTTACTTGCAAAGATTCACCACAACATGGATAGGAAGGGACTCAACCTCCAGATTCACCTCAAATTCTGGGGATAACTATGTCACCTCTACATCTCGTGGCCTCTCTCCTTTTTTACTTGGATGAACGTAAAGACAACCAGAACAAAGTTTAAACAGATTTCAGTTCTCAGAAATGTGTATTTCCTTTTTTGAAATGCTTTTAAAGAAAAGCCGACTACAGGGAAAAAAAAAAAAAGACAAAGGCTTTGCTAAAAATGAAGACATTCCTTCTATAACATTTTAGATCAAATTCATGATTTAGTAAGTACAACTATTGCTGCATTACACTTCCAAAAAAAAGAAAGGAGATGGTTAGAAATAAACCCTGAAGAATTATTGCCCACGAAGCCGTGGTGGAACACACTTAAAGCTCTCGCCAACTACGAAAGCAATAAAGTTTGACAAAGATAATACAACAAACATAATGGCTTGCTTTGCATCTTAAATAGATAATGAAGCAACCAGAGGCAATATATCCAGCAGTTAGTGCTCTCAGGACTCCATAAATTACAGGTTAGTGCAGTATAATTTAGGAGGAAAATAAAACTAACAGATGACCAAATTATGGCGTTTTGACTCACGCCGTTGGTTCCACTGGGGGATGTTCTCCCAGGGAAGTTGTAGGGGCTACTCATAGTGGTAGGACAGCAGCAAACTTTGCAATATTAGAGCCAAATATAAGCTAAAATGCTGCTTTGGGAATGGGGAGATAGGGTCTTTAGGAACAAGGCACCACATGTTCCCAGAGCAGGAGAGTGTTTGCAGGTCCTGCAGGAGCTCTTTTTCCCCCTCCACAGCTCCAACCCACAGGAGAAGGCTCCAGCCTTGTCCTGACTCCCCATCAGCCCCTTCAGCCTTAATGATTCTAAGATTCTATCCTATGATTCTATTGAAGTGACCCATTTTGGGGTTCTCCTCACCTCATTTTAGATCTTCACACAACTTCTAGCTGAATAAAGCACCCCGGGTTCTCCAGCTGCAAGAAATCAGCAAGTATTAGAGCATATTCATTTATCCTGACTCAGGATGAGATGGTAGATCAAGTGAAGCACAAGAGTTGCCCAAAAGAAGTTGCAGGTGCCTCAATATTTCCAGTGTTCAAAGACACGGCTTGGAGCAACCTGGTTTAGTGGAACGTGTCCCTGCTCGTGATGGGACTCAATCTTTAAAGTCCCTTCCAACCCAAACCATTCCAGGATTCAATTTGGAGAGGTATGACCTCATAACATGCTGAATTGAATATATAAATATATATTTGAATATATAAACCATCAGCTGAAATTAAACAACCTTGTACCTAAATGCTCCCTTTCTATTCCCACCAAGAAAATCCTCTTGGCATAATTTAATTCCACCTAAGAGGACGCTACACCTCAGCAGAAGCAGGACATTCTGGGAACACTGTGTCACAGCTGATGACATTATCTGAGTCACTTTTGATGGGATTAATGTTGTTTCAGTAAAGCTGAGGAGAATTTCTCTGCACGAGAGACAGAACAGCAATGGAACAACAGGTCCAGAGGGTGAACGAGGCTCTTCCAGGCGACGCTGGATAATTATGAAATGTAATTATGCTTTGAGTTTCTCAGGGAAAAGAGCAAGGCTTGATAAACATTTTAGCACATTCTCGCTGGTAGGGGAAAAAAAAAAAGAAAAAAAAGGACATTTCAAGGAAATTAAAAACCTAAGGCAGCAGGTTTTGCAGCGAGAGCTTGAAACGCTGAGTCCTGGGATTTGATGGGTCATTAAAATACGTGGAAAGATTATTTATTTCATGTGACCTACAAGTGTACAAGTAAGAGGTGACAGGATGATCATATATATGTGTGCATGTGCCTGTACAATGAGAATTCTAAAATCTAGAACTAATTATTGGCTAAATTTAACACGGAGCTTCCCCCTCATTGCTGGTGGTTTGTCATCTCTTCATCCCTCAGAGCCATCCCACCCCCTCTCCAGCAGCTGTAGGCATGGATTGAATCTAAACTGGATGTATTTTTCTAAACTTTGCACAATATTCTGAATAGAATCATATTAAAAAACTCATGGGACAAAGGAATAGAGACCAAGAATTCCGTTTATTCTCTTTTCCTATACTTTGGTACTAAAACATGTAATGTTGAACAGCTCACACTGACATTGCCCAACAGAGGCTGAAATGGATCTAAGTTTTCTATTCACAATTGTGAAAAAGAAGGGGATAATATAAGACAGTTGCTATGACTGCCAAAATAACCAAACATAAGGGATAAAGCAGCAAAGTTTTTGTCACTCCTCACAATTCGCTTCCAAATAATTTTTTTGCACACATAAAATCATTAATCAGCTGCTCCCCCTCTTTCCCTCTCCATTTCTACACACAGAAAAAGTGGGATTTTTCTGAGCTTTGCTGAGGACCCCGAAAGCACAAGAAGGGAAATATTTGAATGGAAACATTTTACAATAATTCTACTATTTGGATAACGTAGGTGGATTCCAAAAAAATTTGACTCCTCGAAGCCGTTGCAAGACCTGGCCTCAATCGGTCTAAAATGGGTCTAAAAATTCTAAAACTGGTCTAAAATTCTGCTCTTTGGAGTCACTTGTGAGACACTGTCACTCCACCTTCTGTTTATCCAATTTAGGACAGGTATTGAGGGGCCAGAAATGTGTGAGGCTGCAAAAAACCAGACGTGCTACAAAATGTGAGAATCTGCAGCTGCCTGAACTGGCACCCCTTGACTTTTTGTCACTTCAAATCAACATTTTCCTGTGGAGTTGTGCACGGTTTGGGAATATCTGGATGATTCTGGTTTTGCAAACCTTTTGCATATATTGAAAAGGATTCCAGTAGATGAAGATCTCGCAATCCAATCAGTGCCAGATTCCAAATATGCTTCGTGAGGTTAATAGGGAGTGATGGAAGGCACATCTAAGTGTGTGTTTTTGTCACTTGGTGTCCCCCTTAACAATAAAACCCTGCAAGTTGTCAACATGTCGAGGTCTGTTGACTTCACAACAAGCCAGTAAAGGCAAAAAAACCCCCATCCCCTTATGAAATAGCACAAGAATAGAAATGCTGCAAGAGAAAAGGAAACTTTGGCTTTACTGTACATTTTTCAACATTTACTCAGATCAAGCCTCTAAAAATAAAAATGTCTGCCTTTCCCCCTAAATTAGTTTCAGGCAGGGAATGTTGTCAGATACATACATTATATAAAACCAAAAAGGGTATTAAAAATAGAAGTAAATAAATAAACAAAAAAAATAGAAAGCAAGCAAACATCTTGCTTTGAAACAAGAGATTTGCTTTCATATACATAAAATACAAATGATCCTTTTATCCTGGCATATGTAGCCTTAATTAGAGCTGGATTTTTCCAAAGCTACAGAGGATATGTCAATATAGATCCAAAAGTACATCTGAATAGCCACAAAACCACTGCGTGCAGCAACTCCTTCTGCAAATATTTATTACATATTTAGAACTGTTGTTTTTAAACAAATCAAAAATCAAAAAGCAATTGGTTCTGCACTAAGTATTGCCTGGAGACACCATTTAAAATGAGCACAGTCACTATATGGCAAGTTTTTTTGCCCATAAACTTAATTTTATATCTACCTAAAATAATTTTGAAGCTTCTTTGACTTAGTGCAGCATTAAAGTGGAAGAAATGTTTACCATCCTGGTAGACTTGTACCCCCTGGTACACTCATATCCTCATTATCCATGGAAATTCTTGGTTCTTTTGTCCTGGAAAAACTCATGCACATATTGCAGAGCCTGGCACCGACATCCCAGTGGGAATGGCAAAAGGGAAAGGGAGGAGAGAGAGAAAAGGAAGGACAGACAAAGGAAATGCTGCACATCTGGATTTGAGAACTTGGACCTTTCAGAAAGGAAATCACCAGCAAAGGAAAAATGTGGGCACAAAGTAGGCTGGAAAATTATTTTGTTGGAAGTACTGTATCAGAAATCCAGCTGTTTGTTTGTATTAATTAAAAAGTAATAGGAAACACAATTACTTCCCACACAGATGTTGGGAATGAAGAATATTTTTTGGACACTCAGAAATTTTGAGGATTTTAGTTGCCCATTGAGTCAAAATAACTTCAAATATAAGGCAAATAAAACCAGTAGGAAACCCGTCCACTAGGAATGAACAGAAAGATTTAGTGGTTCAGATATATTTAGACAAGCAGATATTAAAATATACGCTCCATTAATAGCAATAAATGGGATCTTATGAACTCCTGTGCCACTCCCTGTGTGCAGGACGGGATTTTTAGCACTGCTGACAATGGACAAAGTGTGGCTGTAAGAACAAATTTGTGGGAAAATGCAGATTCAGGTCAACAGAACTATTTATATCTAATTCACAAGATCGTTTCTCATCCGAGGGAAAAGAGTTTGAGCAGACTTCAAAGTGGTGTTTTTTTGTTTCAACATTTCAAAGCAAAACTGTTTCTATTTTTTCCTTCCCATGTTTCATTTCAAAGTACTTCTTTTTTAAAGAGTAAAACATAAAGACATTTTCAAGATTTTTGTTTTGTTAGGGAAGCTAATGAAAATAGTTTAGACTAACATAAAGCAAGCCACGAGCTGTCTGAGGCATTTTTGGCTCAGAAAAGCAACTCTCAGTTAATCATATAATGTCACAACTTCACAATTCAACTGGAATAAGAAACCAAGAGAAACTCCACCCCATCACTTGATAAATAAAAAAATATGGTCAAATGGTCATATCTTATTACAGTGTTTGTGTGTCCCTACTCCCCAAATTAGACTTTTAATAAAGTTTCATTTTAATTTGCTTAGTTTTTACAGTGTTTGTGTCAAATAGCTGTTTCTGGGGTGGTTGTGCAATTGTATGTGGTACTTCTTGGTTGTGCATTTCTTATGTATGTGAATTAAAATGACATTTGTCCATATATATATTCATTAGATTTATACATATTACATATATATCTTATACAGATTATATAAAATAAATAAATATTAAATATACATTTTAATATATATATATTTACACATATTTCATACAACCATCTTTATAGAACACTGAAGTGCTGAGAGTGAATCTGCATTTTTGAAGCTCCTGCTCACTCCTGTCTCGGTCGTAGAGATGGAACAGAGTTTGAGAGCTGGAATGTCTTTTATTTCTTTTTCCTTTCAATATCTTTTCTCCTTTTAAGATTCTGTGGCCTACTTGCTGAGGGAAGAGCTTCCCTGTTCGTTGGGAAGGAGTCTGCCTGTCTGACTCGAACAAAGCCATCAGCCTGATCACAGGAGATGCAGCTGCATCTGAACATCTACATTTTAAAACATCTACATTTCCAAACATCTGCCTTGGAGGTACAAATCCCACCTCTCTGTGTTTTTAAGCCACACACCACAAACTCAAGAATATTTGGGAAACAGGTTGAGGGAGGGGATTCTGCCCCTCAGCTCAGGTGGGACCCCCCTGCAGAGCTGTTCCAGCCCTGGGATCCCAGCACAGGAAGGACTTGGAGCTGCTGGAGCCAGTCCAGAGGAGGCACCAAGATGATCAGAGGGCTGGAGCAGCTCTGCTGGGAGGAAAGGCTGGGGGAACTGGGATTGTTCAGCCTGGAGAAGAGAAGCTTCAGGGTGATATAACTGCAGCCTTTCAGGACCTGAAGGAGCTACAAGAAAGATGGAGAGACTGTTGACAAGGGATGGAGTGACAGGACAAGGGGGAATGGATTCAAACTCAGAGGAGGGTTAGATTAGGAAGAGTTTCTTCCCTGTGAGGGTGGGGAGGCCCTGGCACAGGTTGCCCAGAGAAGCTGTGGCTGCCCCATCCCTGGAAGTGTCCAAGGCCAGGTTGGACGGGGCTTGGAGCAACCTGGGCTGGTGGAAGGTGTCCCTGCCCATGGCAGGGGTGGAACTGGATGGTCTTTAAGTTCCCTTCCAACCCAAACCATTCTATGATTTCAGCCTAATGATGGATAGAATCCCAAACCATCTCTCCAAACCTCAAGAATGATCCATTAGCACACACATCCTCTGAAAAAAACCTGGGAACAAAACCATACTCTTGTGCTTGCAGTGTCACATTAGGAATGAACAACCTTTTGGAACAAACTCTTCTTTTTATGGGTCAGAAGTCAAAAAGAGAGCTAAAAAGGCATTCCTAAAAAAAGCTTCTCAGTGGTAGAGGAAGGGTAAGAGCAATAAGGAGTGAGAACTCCATTCTAGGAAAATAAAAACCCACCAACCTCATGAAAAATAAGAACTAGGTAAATATCTTTCACCAAATCTAGGAAACAAACAAACAAAAAAAATCCAGGGTGCTATGATCACTTTGAAAGCATAAAATGAAGTAAAAACCAAGTTCAGACAGTGCAGTCAAGAAGAAAAATTACACAGCAGACTTCTCTTTCAGTCTGTAAGAGTCAGCACAATATGTGAGTTAGGCCTTAAATAAGGAACTGGGGTTTTACAGCAGGTCAAAGCCTCAAACCACACTGCAGGCATTTGTATGGAGAGGTAGCACCGCAAGCAAAAAAAAAAAAAAACAAACCCCAAAAAAACCTGAATTTTTCAATTGTATTTACACTGAGAAGGGGAAAGAGGCCAACAGGAGAGTTCTCTGGGAAGGATGAGTTTCCAGAGAGCTCCCAACTTCTCCAGGCAGCACCACAAATCCTGCAAGAGATCATAATCCAAATTCCCTACCACAGTCTTCATGTTTTAAAGTTATTCTGATTCAATTTCTCAAGTCACTGGGACATATTTCTTTGAGGATCTCAGAGACCATTTTTCTTAATTGCTGTGGGACAGCTGACAAAATTGAAACCCAAAAATAAAAAAAAAACTGGAGAGACTTGATTTTCCAGAGGGTATGTATGTGTGCTTATACATGTGTGTATATATAAATATCACACTTAGCTCGCTCCCAAATGTTGTGAGAACTGAAATAATTATGCTGTTCACAACTTTAATTAAAAGACTCCAGTTTTGCTACTTTTCCAGAACCTTTTCTTTTTGAAATGTTGGGGGAAAAGTGTAGCATCTGATGGAATGAACTCTTACGGCTCAGGCAGCTCTGGAAATTCCAAAAATATATCAGAATTTGATTTGTATGTTTTCTGTAACTTTCTTTGAGGTTTGTAATGAAAATCTGGACCATGTATTGCACAGTAACCATTTACTGAAGCTCCTGCTCCACTGCCCTGGCAGTAAATCCCACTTCTGCAGAACCACAAGGAATTTTTTCCCTTCTCAATACCCATCCAGGAAAGCCAGTTGTTTTTTTTTTTTTACTGCAAAACTCAACCCCTCAGCTTTTAAACTTCTCTCAGAGATACGCAGTGATACCACAACTCTTCCAGGAGTCTATTTGGATTTAGGAAATGAATTTTTGCTTGGACTGGCCTCAAACCCAGGCAATCCACATTAGGCTTAGGGGGTATCTGCTCTGTGGAATTATAGTTCCCACACAGGTTATTCCTCTTGCAAAGCAAGTTGAAGGAAAGAGAAGGAAATAGAAATTGTCTGAAATAAATGTCTTTATAGCTACAGTTTATTCCTACAATTAAAAGAAAGGGAGATTCTTATAATGATCATGTTCATGGAGAAAACTGCTTTCCTGAATATCAGCATCTTTATGTATCAGTGACAGCAGGAGTGATTTTATGTTAGTTTGCAGACGCATATATTTGCAAAGGAAATGATAAATGTCTCACCAGGATTCACCTGCTGCCAGACACAGTGAGAACACACCAGTGACTGTCACCAGTGTCCAAGGAAATTAGGGCATATGCAAAATAAACATAGGGAGAGAGCATTTGGGAGACATTACTAATCATGTTAAATACACTAAAAGCCTGAATTTCAAAGGCCTGGAGGTCCCTGATGAGATTTTTTCAAAGAACTGGAATTTCTGTGATACCACCTGTGGCCACACTTTGTTCCGGCTCCTGGCGTCCACATTCCCTGGGCTAAGTCCCACACCTTTACAATTGAGGCCACATCATTCATTTATTATCTAGTGGGGAATGGTCTCAAGTTGTGCCAGGAGAGGTTCAGGCTGGATATCAGGAAAGGTTTCTTCATTGGAAGAGTGACAAAGCTTTGGCACAGCCTGCCCAGGGCAGTGAGGGAGTCACACCCTTGGAAGTGTTCAAACCATGATATGGTTTAGTGGGCATGGTGGGATACAGGTGAAGGTCAGACTTCACCATCTTGGAGGTCTTTTCCAAATTTAATGATTCTGTGATTCGTTCCCATTTGAAATAAGAGCAGTGAAATAACTTCAGTGACACTCCTGTGGGTTCCTACGTTCCAAACATCCCATGGTTTCTGTTCCAGGCAGAGCTCAGTGACCAGCTGGGCTCAGGGATGGTCCCCTCTGAGGGCACCTGTCATATCACCCAGGCCATTTCTGGGGCACAGGTATCCCCTGTGTTTCTAAGAAAAGGGTTCTGCTTTGCCCAGAGAGGTTGCAGATGCTCCATCCCTGGAAAGTGTTCAAGGCCAAGTTGGAAGAGACTCGGAGCAACCTGGTCTAGTGGAAGGTGTCCCTGCCCATGGTGGGGCTGGAACAAGATCTTTTAAGGTCCCCTCCAACCCAAACCATTCTGTGATTCCATGATTTTTCAGCTTAACCTGAAATGAGGACACGGAGCAGCTGCTGGGCTGGGTGGGCAGAAGAGCAGAGTGTCCTCGTGGAGTGTCAGGACAGCTCTGGAGTGTTATGCAGAGTCAGAGAGAGGGAAAAAATCCTGGATGTTGTTTACTTTGAACCAAACCAAGCCTTGCTGAGCAAAATCAGGAATATTTACAGAGCAGTGTGGGGACTGGGGCTTGGGACCAAAGCAGGGAGTGAAGCTTTGACAGCCCAGATACACTTGCAATTTCAAACAACTCTACTTTTTTTTCTTTCTCCTTTTAAATTTGCTGTTTCCCTCTTGGTTCCTAACAAAGATATATCCTCTTAAAGATGAAGGGTAAACATTGCATTTGAAAAATGTCATAAAAATCCATTTGCCATTTTTCTCCCCCCCTCTAAAAAACCAAACTATTTGCACAGTGAAGCCCAGCCTGTCTTTCTCCTCCCCACAGGCAGGTTCTGATGCTTCAGAAACACAAAGAACAGAATACAAATCAGTTCCTACTTCCATGACATGTCATGATTTCAGCTGAGAGCAATTTACTTGCGATGTATTTCTTTGGCTGGGAATACACAGGACTAGTTCTCCTTATTGTCCTGGACATTTCACCCACTAAACCATTAGTTTCCTCTGAGAACAGAAATAAATAGCACAATTTGTCCTCACAGAAGACTGGCTGCTTCTGAAATGTGAAGAAGCTCGTGGCAAATGGGCAGAATGTTGGGAATAAATAAGAAAAACGGGGCAGCAGAAATCAATCTTGCACCGTGACTTCTCTCATTCATTTAAATGGGAAATGGTTTTTTTTTTCTGGGGCTCCCAGGAATTGAGACATAGCAAATTTGCAAGCTGGAGAGAAAATATGGGGAGTCTTCTATGCAGATTTGAAATATGAACTTGAAAGAAAAATTTGAAGACACAATCAGCCAGCAATTTAAGGAAATTATAACAGCCAGGGGAGAAGAGATGTTTGCTGTAGCCATTTAAACAATAAATTGCTTTAAAGTTCTAAGTAAATCAATGAAAACACTAAATCTTCTCCTATTTTTCAGGCTACACCCAGGCAGGGATTAAATAGCACATGTTGTACCTGATCTTACAAAAAAGTTTAATCTCAGTGCCACTTCATAAGCCTCTGAAAAACTCCATCTGCCAAAAGATTCACCTTTTCCAGGTACTATTTCATGCTCTTCCCTCACCTATAGCAGCCTCTTCCCTCTGCACTTTAATCTAAGTCTCTTCAGATGCTCAAGAGAGTTAAATGGAAATGATAAGTCATGACTTTGAGACAAGTCTCTCTTGATGCTCCTCAAATTATCCAGAAGATTCAGTGCAAGTGCAGGTGACAAACCTGCCCCAGCCACATTTCACTGGGAATCTCCTGAGCAAAAGCAGAAACGAGATCTTACTTGTCTGAATTCTTCCCAGATTTTCAGGTGATCTGGACAGTTTTTCCCAGAAGAATTTCCAGTGACCATCCTTACTGGAACAGCACAAAGAGGCGTTACCATCAACACTGCAACAACCAGAGAGAAGAGGAAAAATGGAAGAATTAAGAATAAAAACAAAAAAAAACCACAACCCCCCCCCCCCCCCAAAAAAAAAACCAACCAACCAACCAACCAAAAAAACCCCAAAAAAACCCAAAAACAAAACAAACAAACAAACAAACAAAAAAACCCAAACAAAAACAAAACAAAAAACCACCAACTTGCATTGGAAACACTGGTTTTGAAGTATTTCCAGGTTTTTGCTGATGTCAGGAGATGGCTCAGATGGCAACACACAGCTCTGGTGTCCAAAGGGAATGTCTTACCCAATAGGGTCTTTTAATTCAGTTTTTCCCATCCTTCTGGGCCAGAATAAAAAGAAACTTTCACAACCAAATGTGCCCAAAGAAGGTGGTGCTTCAGAACCACTTTATTTCAGTAACAAATGTCCATGAATTTGTTGAATAATTTCTTATTTGTTCCCTTCAACATATGCTGTGATTTCACTTCCCAAACAGCATTTTCACTCCCCAGCTGACAAGCTGATTGATTGTCCTTGTTATCTGTCAGAGAGCTTCATCACTGCATTTTGAAAAGAACTTATAGGCCGAAATAAATTCAAAAGATGAAGTGGCTGAAATTAGAAACCTTCAGATTCCAAACCAAATTACAATGTTTCAACTTTTTCCTCTAACTTTAAGCCACTGTTCAGGTGCTGAAGTGCCACGACTTGTACGTTGTGGAGCAGAGCAAGGCCCAAGTGACATTAAAAAGAATCAGTTTGGACTTTCAAAGCATTTCACGCCCCTATTAAATGCCTTAGCAGCTCTGCTCCTTTTTTATATTCAAGCACAGTTAAATTTAAGCTCTTTTAGCATAAAATAGGTGATTGGAAATATGGTTGTGTGTTGGTGAGAGTGAGTCCCCACCTCTCTGTGGAAATGGGAGCTGACATCTGATTAAGGAGCAACAGGAGTCACAAACTCCTTCAGTCTGGATTCCCCCTGGATTCCCACGTTCAGGAATTCGCTCCATAAACTTTAATGGTTATTCAGTTAATTTTTCTGTTGGAGTGTGTGTGCCTTGGCACGAGCTCCATTAAACCTTTTGTCTGTGGGAATGTCACCAGTGAGGCAGAAGCCAACGTGCCCCCTGAGCCCGTGCAGAGAGCGCTGAGCTATTCCTGTGACAATGATTGTCACGGGAGGAGAAATGTCACCTCACAACTGCAGCTTTCTGAAGTGCACTGAAAGGCAGCCTCGTCACTGGCAGACTTTTACAGACCTACAGGAGGAACATGGAACATTCTCCTACCTCTTCACATGAAGAAGTTGCCTTTGCACAGTTTCACAGACAATAAAATGTTGGCAGAGGATGCCCAGTGCCAGCACTGGTACCAGTACACGCATGATCTACTCATCAGGTGTGAAGGCAGGGAGCAAAAAACAGCTTTGCAACAGATTATTCACTTACAGTCAGAGACCTGGACAAGAGCACCTCAAGGAAACCCTCAGACAACTCTGGGAAAAGATGGAGTGAGGATGACTGAGAACATTGTTTTTTAAAATTTGAATAAATTTGTTTTTCAAGATGCTGCAGGCAGAACAACACAGAATCAAATCAGCCTAAAAAAATATTTCCCTCTCTACCAAACCCTCAGACTGGTAAGAAAAGGGCAAAAGTACCTCTGGGAGGGATCCTGGCAGAAGACACAAGAAATGTGAGGCTGGATGAGGCTGAAGCTCAGATGAGCCATTTCCACCAAAATACCTGGTAAAGCAGAAGGTTTGATGGTGATGGCTTCAGATTTGGTAAATCTATGAAAGAACCCACAGAAATGGCTTTAGCAGCCACACCAAATTTCCCACAGAATCACCAGGAAAGGTTGGTCTCACACTCAGCCTGGGGGTTGAACTGGGCTCTCTCCTTCCTCCGATCGGAGGTGCTGCTGTTCTGGTAACATTTACTTCTGTGTTAGTACCAAAATGTTACCAGAAGTATAATTAAAAAGGAAACAGTTAAAATACCTCTGGCCATTGAAATAGGAAATGGAGTTGTTCAAACACAGGGCAGAACCCCTTTAATATAAGTGTTTTTCTACCAAACAAAAAACACTGAGGAGAGGACGTGTCACACAAATGCAAGATGAACTAAACTTCACAATAGATTTCTCCCCATATGAATCAAATCTCTATCCACACAGAATGTTTGTATTGTCTTACATTAACTTAGAACACTCAGATCTAACAAATGTGGCAAGCTCAAAAATAGGTGCCTGTAAACTTTAATCTCCTTTCTAGAGATGTGTTTTTATTAGGAGACCGTGGCTGCCAAAGCTGTGCAGCCAGTCAGGAACAGATTTTATTCAGGACTTTTATTCAAGAATGCATGCTGCAAAATAAGTTTAATTTAAATGTCAGCGAGGGAGAGGATTTCACCTGAGCAATATTCAAAGGTTAGGACAATATGTCAGTGGAGATTCTTCATTAATGCCGCTACAATGGCTTTATAAACACCCACAACAGAGATTCACCCAAAGCAACTTTCATAAATTGAAAACTCTGTTAGAAGGTGCTTATGAAATGCATTAAATCCCTCTGTGAGTTATTCAGCAAGGCGAGGGAATCTGTTGTTGGAGTGGAAAGACCACGAAGTTGTTGAAAACAGCTATTTTGAAACTTCAGCCAACACTGTGATTTCGAAATAGCTGTTTTCGAAGCCTCTTGCTATAGTGAATTTCTGTCTTGATCATTAATTTTCATGCCTGAGAGTATTCTTGCATATTTTACTCTCATTTAGCATACCTGAGAACAATGAAAGCCAGAAAAAGGGAAGGGATGCTTTGCAAGTTCACCTAAAGTGATTAATACCTCTTAACTTCACCGCAACAATAGGACACATGTGACCTACACCACGGAAAGAAATGATGAACAGACACGTAAATCTTCCTTAATTACCTCTCTTTGTAACACGGGAAAAAAAGGGGTGGCAACTTGAGGAGGAAGTAATCAGTCAGTCAAATCACAGAGTAGTGGAAAGGTCAGGTTCTTACAGCCTAAACATCGTGAATTACAAGAAATATAAAGCATTAAAATTCCAAATGGCTCCTTTTTGACAGAGGTTCTAATGAGAACGGAAAACGAGAAAGCAATCTGTCCTCACGACAAAAATTGCAATGGGAATATTCTCCCCTTTAAATCTCTTCAATGAGGGAAAATATGTTTCTGTGCCAGGACCACGAAGGACTCGACTCATGTTTGCACATTACACAGTTCAAGAAATTAGTTCGTGATCAATTGATTTGCCATATCCCCATCCCAAAACAATTGTGCTGGAGCATCTGGCCTGGTTTCCATGACTCCTGTCTCCCACTCGGCTCATAAAAGGCACACCCAAATTCTCCAGCGGGGCAAGGAGCAATTAGGAAAGAAGCAGGAACAATTACCAGTGAAAGCTAAGCAAGCCTGGCTAAATGCGGGAACTTTTAACTCCAGCATTAAAGCAGTGAAACCAGCAGGGGAACAAGGTGTTATTTTTCCCTTGCAACACTCCAAAAGCCAGAAGGCTCTTGGAAGAAGATCCCTGGAGCTCAGTTCCATCTCTTCCCACACAGGCACCACAGAGCCATGGATGGGTTGTGACAGGAGAGTGGCTCTGTCCTGCTCTGGTCACTGAAGGGCTGTTTGGTGCCCACCAGCACCAAAGGGGTTCCTGCAGCCTCCTCGCTCCTTCCAATGTGCCTGTGGTGGCATTTCTGTACTTAACAACCCCTGTTAGAAATGCCTAATGATTTTAATTCCATGTGAAAAGCAGCATTTTCAGTCTTCCCAGCATTTCCATGCTAATGTACCTCAAATACACTCAGGAGAACAGCTCCCCAGTGGGAAGGTGTCTTACTCTGCTCTTGGCTTCTCTACTGCACTGTTCAGCAAGGATTTAAAAGTTTGGTTTTCCATCAGAACAAGAAAATAACTTTTTTTTTTTATATTTTTTTAAAAATACATCACTAACCATGACTCGTTTTTTGTAACCTGCATTGCCACAAGGTGATCACATCTTTCATGACAGCACCATCACCATCACACGTGGGTATAAAACAAGTTCTCCTTTCTATATTTAAAAACAATCACGGCGTCGTGGTGTTTTACCATTGCACTTCCTCCTCCCCTCGCTCTCCTACCACCTCAAGCCCCACAGGAAGCAATCATTTCTATGCAAATGCTGCCTAATAGAAATATAACTTCTCCATAACCTGCCTTTTCCTTGGGGAAACCAATCTGCTGGATGTGTGTTTGGATACGGGGCGAAATCAAACCGCTCGCGGTTTCCGAGCAAAGCACTAAGCTGCAAAATTTATAGCATATTAATGGCCTCCTGCATCATTTCCATATTCATGGAGCGCTTCTGACTCGTGCACACTTCATTTTGGAGGAGCAATAACAATCTCATTCACACAGCAAGTGACAATGGGCAGGTTCAATAATGGAGGTAACTGGTACAAACACCATCAGACACATCCCCCCCCCCCCGAGTGTCAGCTCGTAAACCACTCACAAAGCATGTTTAAGAGATGATGGCAGCTGGGAGGGAGACTGGGTAGGAACACTTAATTGTAAAATGCTTCATATTCCCTGTTCTCCATGGGGAATGTGAAGGTTGTAGCACCCAGTGACCATTTGGGGCTAAAACACGAGAAATTGGCCTGTTCGCAGCGAGCTACGTGAGAGGCCACTCTGCACGTGGACTGCTTGTCCCCTCCTCCTCAGGGGTGACAAAAATGGCAGATATGGATAATAATGAACAGGAATTATTGGCAGAGAGGATCTGTCACCTCCATCACCCTGCAAAGGAGCTGGTGGCCCCTTGAGCAGGTACAGTGTTGCTGAAGCAACCCACGTCCTCTGGACAGCAGGTTGGGGTTCAAAGGTCCAGATTTGCCCTTTTTTGCCTGTGATCCCAAATGTCCCACTGGGGGGTCTCGCTGTGAGAAGGAAGAAGAGGCTCTGCCCAGCATCACACAAAGCCT